TGGAGGGAGGCCGCTGTCCAGTGTTTAATCGCCCCTGGAGCTGCAGGATGTAGCAGTGACCGGTTACGGAGCAGGTGCTCGAGCAGATCAGGGCTCGGGTACTGAACAGCACACGCCAGTCAGTCTCGGTGCCTGACAGTTATCTTGAGGGGAAATAAGGCACAGTGTGGAAAAAGGAAAAGGTACTGCAGTGGTATTTCCTGAGTAGCTACATGGAATACTGTAGTGTAGGAACTGCCTCCAGTGTTAGACATGTTTAAGGGCACCGATCAATGTTGTATGATAAGATAAGATCACGTTATAAGCCATATACAATTTCTTGCATTAGGAATTTCTTTTCACAGACCCCAGCTTGCTCTCCAGCAGACACACAGACAGGGAGAGAAGCTGGGGGTCAGAGCGCAGGGTCAGCCATTTATACAGCACCCCTGGAGCAGCTGGGGTTAAGGGCCTTGCTCAGGGGCCCAATGGAGTAGGATTCCTCTGCCGGCCGCGGGATACGAACTACAGACAGAAATCCAGATGCCGGCCCCTTTCTCCTGTAGGTCAGGGGTGTGAATGGTGGAGGGCCTTCCCACAGGGTTAGGCAGCGCAGACTGGTTCGTGTGAGCAGTTGTGATGTTCGCTGATCAGTGACTCACCGGATCAGCTGCGATTTACTGAACTTTTCCAGGTCGGAAGGATCTCGGCAGCCAAGTTAGTTTCTCATGACACGGGCACTATAGGGATGTTGTCATCGCTGTAACCCTTCGCAAGTCTTTGTTCTTTTCTGCCCCGCGTCCCTTCCTGGTTTCTGCCGAGTCACTCCAGCTGTGTGCTCCTCTGCAGGATCTGCTACACGGACACCAGCTGCCCACAGGAGGACCAGTATCCCCCCAACATCGCTGTCAAAGTGAACCAGGGCTACTGCCACGTCCCGGTACGCCTCCGCTGGCATGACCCCCTTATCCCTGCTCCTTCCCCGGGCGCCCGGTGGGGTCGAAGGGCAGGGCGGCTGGGGCTCGGCTAGCGTTCCCCCTCGGTGAGCCGAGCCCAGCTGTGGCGGGACCTCCGCGCGGCTCTTTCGACTGTGGGGCCCCGGGGTGAGGGTTGGGAGGGGGGTGGGGGGCAGTTAGTGTGTTGACGCTCGGTGGTGGTGTGGGGGGGGCCCCGCCACCGCCACCGCCACGCTGACCTCTGCCCTTGTCTGCGGCCGCCAGGGCTACTACCCCTCCAACAAGCCGGGCGTGGAGCCGCGCCGCCCCTGCCGCCCCATCAACATCACGCCCTGGCTGCACCTGTCCACCGCCACCAACCGGGTCACCGTCACCTGGGGCAACTTCGGCAAGGTGAGCCCCCTGAACGCCCGCCGCCCCGCCCCGCCCCGCGCGACACCGGCGCCGCGGCCAGCCTGACCCGCTTGTCTCTGTCCGCAGCGGTACTGCGTGGCGCTCTACCTGGTCCAGGTGTTCACGTCGGCGGAGCTCTTCAGCAAGTTGAAGCGCTTCTCGGTGGAGAGTGCAGAACGCTGCAGAGAACTCAGTAGGATCACGGCCGCTGCTTTCTGTGACCTCCAGCTCCTCCTCGCCTTCCCCTCCCCCGCGCTTGTCTAACCCGTGGCCAGAGTGTAGCCCTTCCCCCCTCGTTCTGTTAGTCTGTGCTGCGGGTTCCCTCCGAGCCTGAATTCACATCCCCGATAAAAGGATTTTTTTTCCCCTCTCTCTGAAGCTTCTGTGTCTTTGCTTCTAGTCCAGGACAAGTTGCGGTTCGACCCCGACAGCGAGATCGCGACCACGGGCCTGAGGGTGTCGCTCATCTGTCCGGTGAGTCCGGGGGGCCGCCGGGGCCGGCGTGTCCTCCTGGCGCCTTGACCGCTCCGCTGAGCCCGCTGGACGCCGTGTGTAGAGTCTGCGCGCAGTCTGGGCAGCGGTCCAGCTGCAGAGGGGAGCTGCTGCTCCTCCGGGGGGCCCTGTCTGGGGAGGGTGGGCCGGGCCGTCCCAAGAGCTGCGCTCACCCCCGCCCCCTCTCGCCCCGCTGCAGCTGGTGAAGATGCGCCTGGGCGTGCCGTGCCGCGTGCTGACCTGCGCCCACCTGCAGTGCTTCGACGCCGTGTTCTTCCTGCAGATGAACGAGAAGAAGCCCACCTGGACCTGCCCCGTGTGCGACAAGCCCGCGCCCTTCGAGCTGCTGATCATCGACGGGTGGGTCCTGCCCGTCCTCTCTCGCCGCGCGGCTTTCGGGCCGCTGCCGGCGATCTAACCCTGACACCCCCCCCCACCCCCACCAGGCTGCTGTCGGAGATCCTGAAGGAGACCGAGGACGTGGAAGAGATCGAGTACCTGGCCGACGGCTCCTGGCGCCCCATCCGGGCGGAGAAGGAGAAGGAGAGGGACAGAGAGAGGGAGCGCAGCAACACGCCAGAGTGCCCCCTGCTGGACATGTGTAAGAACAGAGGGAGCAGGGGGGGAGGGGTTACTAAGCTGAGGAAGGGAAGGGAAAATAAGAGTATCCCAGCAAGAACAGGGCACCAGTCCCTCACAGGGCAGACATGCGCTCTTTTCCTAGAAGCCCGTTAACCCAGCAGCTAAGAACACAGGGAGAACATGCAAACTCCACCCAGACAGCACCCCAGGTCAGGCACTGAACCCGGGGCCCCAACGCGCCGCTGTGCCACCCCAGAGAGGAGCAGGCTCCGTTAACCCCAGCCTGCCTCTTGCCTCCCCCCGCAGGCTCCCCGGAGGCGAACGGCCACTCCCCGGCCCACAGCAGCACCAGCCTGAGCGGCAAGACAGCAGTGGGCGGAGCTCCGGCCGTGGTGGACCTGACGCTGGACTCCTCCTCGGAGGAGGAGGAGGGAGGTGGGGCGGGGGACAGCGAGGACACAGAGGACAGTCAGGACAGCCCTCCCCCCAAGAGGGGGCGCTACGGCTACGACAAGGACCTGGTCACTGCTTACTGACCGTCGCTGGACGGGAGAGCGCTTGGGGGCGAACTGGGGAGGGAGTGATGGAGCAAATAATTTCCCTCCCCTCCCCCCACAAACACTCTCTCTCCACTGCGGACATGTCCTGGAGGCCAGTCCAACGCCTGGCTTCTTCTGCGCACTACTGTGCAACGGGGCACCCCCAGACCCCCCCCACCTTGCTCCCGGTTCCTGTGTTTCTCCCTGCAGCTCAGAGAGGCACCAGGTTCCCTCCCTCCATCCCCGGAATTCGCCCCTCTTCCTCGGCTCGCAGCTGTGACTCTTCCTCTCTGGGGCTCGGACCGCTCTCTCTCGCGGGAGAGGAGGGGTGCCCGGGGGGGGGGGCGCGTCGTCGTGCTCCTGTAGTAGTTTAATAAAACTCATAGCTTAAAGACGTGCAAAAAAAAAAAAATGATAAGTCTGATTTCAGAGACTTCATCTGAAAGTGGGGTTGTGGGGGTGAGGTAGGGTGCAGGACGCTGACCTGGGACTCGCCGTTGGGATGCGGGATGGATCCCGGCTTTTTCCTCTGCAGCAGAGCTCCGCTGCGGTGCCGCGACCTGGAGGTCCGGTTTCGTTTCGTCTCTCCCCCCGAGAAGATGATCACCTACCTCAGTCTCAGCAAGAGAAATGCAGCAAGCAGCACTTGGGCCTGAACCCTCCAGGGAGCGGAGGACGCGAAGCCAGGAGGGGATTCTCCCTGGATTGTTTTTGTTGTGGAAACGAACCCCTCACCACGGGACAGAGGGCTGGATGGACAGCAGCTGACTTTTATTTAATTTTAAAACTTGATTTTTTTTTTTTCGTGGAGGGTGGTGAGGGGGGGGCGGGTGGTTATGGACTTTCTTACCCCTCGTGGGATTCCTCGCGCGGAGTGGAGTTCTTGTCCTAGTGGCGGCGGCAGTGATATTCCGGCAGAGATCCGGGGAAGATGATGTGGAATTGTGCGGCTCTGTTGGCAGTGGTGGTGGGGGTGGAGGGGGGCGGGACTTGAGTGGGGGGTGGGACCTGGAGTGAGGTGGTGGGTGGAGAGAGGGGTGGGGCTTGAGGCAGGAGGTGGTCCGGATCGGGGTGGGTGGAGTCTGATGCCGGGGAGGGGCGGAGCACGTCTTGGGTTTGCCGCTCAGTGGAAGCCGGTTTCAGGCGTTGGACTGGGAGGCGCTGCCCAGCCTGGGGGGGCACCCGGGTCCGCGGTAGGCCGCGGCTCTGCCGCCGTGGTTCGCGATCGCGCGGCTGTGTTTCTCTCTGCGCCGCAGAGCCTCACAGTCACGCGAAGCAGTCGGCTCCCTGGGGGAAGATCCGAGCGCGCGGTGGGGGTTGGAGAGATCGCTCTGTTGAATGGGGGTGGTTTGAAAAGTGTGGTAAGAGGAGACCTGCCCCGGTACCACACCTGCTGTAGTGTGTGTGTGTGTGTGGGGGGAGGGGTGGGGGGCGCGTGGGGGTATTCTGAGATTGAAGTGATGCGGGGTACCCTGCCGTGTGTTGGGGGGAGAGGGGGCACTTGCAGTTCCTGCTTGGTGTTTTTTGGGGGGCTGGCGCTGTGGGACGTTGTCCCTGGCTCTCCGTGTTTGCGTCCGGCCCGTTCCAGGCGTGCAGCGTGGGTTCGAGAGGGTGAGGCTCCTCGATTTGATCAGACAGGATCCGGATTCAGCTGCTCTTCTAATGGGAGTTTGTCCTCGGGCACGTCGATAGTGCGGCGTCGCGCTGGAGATGCGCCCAGCGGGCCGGGCCCGGTCTCCTGCTCTCGCCTGTCGCGGCCGTGTGTCTTGTCCCGAGGCAAAATGGGCACGGAGCTGGGCCCGGCCCGGTTCGCGGTCCGGTTTCCCGGCCTGGTGGGGTCGCCAGCCCTCCGCTCTGCTGTGTGTCTCCCCCCCTGCCCCCCACTGCTCCAGGTTTTACTGTCGTCTTTTAAAACTAATCATGCGGTTGATGTGTGCTAGTCTGTCTTGTGCGTAGAGCGAACCCGGACCCCCGTTCCCACGGAAACCGGACCCCCCAGAAGCGATCCTCTGCAGCCGCCCCGCCGTCCCCCCCCCGGCCAGGGGGTCCGGCCGCGTAATCGATCCGAGGGCCCTTCACCCCCTGGTGTCCCGCGGGAACGTTTGGACTTCCCCCAGAGCGCTTTCGGGGCTGGGGCCCGTTCCGGAGCTGCAGGAGCCCCCAGAGGGACGCGTCTCCGAGCGCTGGCCACGCCGAGCGATCCCTACCGGAGCGCCGCGAGGACGGATCTCCAGCTCCGGCCCTGGTCCGGTCCGGTCCGAGCTCTTCTCTTCTCCCGGGTCGCGCTGGGCTCAAGTGGGCGGCGAGCGGCCCAGTCTGCTTGTGTTCCTGCGTCTTGGTGGTGGGGGGATGTTGTCCTCTAGGAAATGGACACCCCCCCCCGGCCCCCAGGCTCTCTCGCTCCCCCCTGCAGCAGGGCCGGCAGTCCCAACTCTGTACTGTACCAACACGCTGTCTGTAAGAAATGCTGTAACAAAAGAACGAGAACTTGTGTCCGACTGGCTTGGGGGGAATTCAAAACCACGCAAGTGTTTCCCCAGGTTCCCAGTGTTGAAAGCTAATAAAAGGTGAATTCAGCACCGCTGCAAAATCCAGTAATTCCCACTTTCCCAGTCTTTTCCCCACCGCGCTGGGATGAGCGAGCGAGGGAGGTGGGGGGGTGGGACGGACAGGCCGGCGGGGGCTCGCAGTCCCAGGTGTACATGTTCAATGTTTAAGTGTCTTTTTATATGTTCATATTAAAAAAAAGCCAACAAAAAAATTAATAAATAATATTTTATCAAGCTGTGATTTGTGCCGCTAGCTTTCCGCCTCTCTGCTGCCTTGTGTCCGACCGGCGGGGGGGCTGATGCCTTTTTTTTTTCTTCAAAAAGTTTTTTTGGTTTGTTCTAAAAATGTGAGTATCGGCCCACAGAGAAGAGGAAATGTCCTGACCTCATTGCCCAGGTGATCTGTGGAGGGGGCTGGTGGCAGTGCATTGAAAATGGGCGACGGGAGCCACTTCTTTACACAAAGCGTTGTGGGTGTAGGGAACAGGGTACCCAGCTTTTACGTTGAAGCTGATATCCTGGCTGCCGGCAGGACACGGCTCGATGAGATCTTGGATCAAATGGCTCCAAATGGCTCAGCTGGGCTGAAGGGCCTCCTTCCTCTGAGCCAGAACCTTCTTCACGATCAGAACCCTGTCTGTAAGATCGAGAGACAGGCTCAGGGGCTCTACCCTGTTCACGAGTTCTGTTAAAATGGGTTTTAATGCAAGTTCATCATTAACAAAGTGCTTGAGTCACTTCAGCACTTGTGTGGAAAGACGAGGAGAGGGCATCGTGGTCCTGATCTTTTGGGGGTCTTATTGCAAGGGGGATTTAGGGTTTCCTGTCGCCGGCCTAGACTGTAAAGCAACCCCAGGCTTTTCCTGCTGCGGTCTGCAGCCCTGGAGTCTGTGAACCAAGGAGAATCTGAAGCATGAATCTTTCATCAGCTTCGCTTCAGTTCTCCAGCATGTTAAACCACTGCAGGTGCTGTTTCTGAGCTGTCCTGCAAGGTGGTGCAGTAACCTCAAGCCTCACTCGGTGTGTCCTGGGGCACTTACAAGTGGTAAGTGTTGCGGCTTTAAGATTTTACTGCTGCTTCGACAATATTGCTACTGTAGAGAATCCAATATGAATTTCTTTATTTTTCCGGTGTTAAACCCTAAACTGACTTGGGGGAAAAGTAGCTGTGGATGTGCCTGCAGTATTAAGGATGGCCACTGGAGGGCAGTCTTGGGCGTTTCGCTCCGCTGCTCGCTGCACAGACCTGAGCTCAGCGCCCGCCTGCGATCCTTCCTCTTGCTCTGTGCTTCTCCGCTGCTGAAAGCAGGATTGGCCACCTCTGCACAGCGGACGGGAGTTGTCTGCAGGAGGAATGCAGCCCCAGTTGGGGAATTAGGTTTTTTTCTTGGGGGAGGGGTACACGTTTTGGGGTTGTCATTCCTGATGTTTTTTTCCTATTAATATTTTCGGTTATGCGTTCCTTGATTTTAGTGGTGTTTGGTTTTTGCAGTTGGGCTGAGTTCTACCTGACAGACACCCCCCCCCCCAGTGGTGAATTGGGGTCAGTCTTGGGGGGTGTGATGCTGCGGGGGTGTCCAGGGGTTCAAGAGCCTGCTGGCCGGGTCTCCTGGCTGAGAAACAGGACCAGAGATCTGAAAGACAGAAGTGCTGCTCGTCAAGGCGCTGGGAGGACAGGTCATTAGCTCGGAGCTCGGAAGACATGAACGAGTTTTTAACCCTCGCAGTCCT